TATATATGCATGTATGTAATATATATATATATATATATATATATATATGTATGTATGTATAAGATATATATATATACATATATAAATATTACGACTTTCATTACTTGATGGTGAGTTTAGAAAAATTCTTCTTTGAATTTGAATACTATATTTTATATATATTTATTTATTATTACTGTATGCACAATTTTTATATTTTAAATATACAATGAATTTTAAATGAATTGTTTCCGCTCTGCTTTTCCTTTTAAAATTGGACAATAAAATTGAATTGATGGATATAGATGGTTTAAGGTTTGTGATGATTCGAATAATAATGTATAACGAATGTATTCCTATAAATAAATAAATAAATATACACATTCATTTTGTAATAAAATGCCTCTGACGGGATTCGAAACTGAGACCTCTTGCTGTCAAGGCGAGCGTCATAACCATTAGACCACAGAGGCTTCATGGTTGAACAGATTCTAATATCCGTTAGGTACGGTACACTCTATTACACAATAATTACACAGGTACAGCTGGAAATAAATAGTAGCACAATAATAACAATGTTGGCTAATAGTAATTTACTAAAAAACATTTGTTCAATCAAATGCCATAATTAATTAGAAAAATGATAATCATTCGAAATTTATCTTACTCTACAGTACACCACAATGAGTCATCAGTTTGCTAACGGTCTGTGCAACGGTCTCTAATTTTCTTGTGTTTTGTTGGATATTTTGACAAAAGAAATTAATGGCATTTACCCAGGTAAGTTATTACAAATTAAACTTAAAATAAAGCTTACTCTAAACTGTTTGATTTTAACCACTTCCACTTTCTTTTATTTTTGTAGTTTAGGTCCGTGGTTATCAAAGCGTTAATAATTGCTCTCTTCACTTGCCAAACCCGTAAGTATAGCACACTATTTAAGCTGCAAATAAAAAATATTCAAACATATAATTACAGTTTATAATATAAACATATAAGTATACTTCCACAAACCCTTTGTTACCGAAGACGCATTCTTTTTCCAACTATAGGAGTATTTCTTTAAAAATATAGTGTTTTGTACGTTTTTAATAACACGTTACCAAGTTGTAGTGGTTTTTATTTTCATTAGAAAGCAATGGGTCGTTTTCATGTTGGGATTATCAAACAGGGTATTACGTAGACCCTCTAGATTGCACACATTATTACCAATGTCAAGCAGAGATGTCCCACGTATCCTGTGGCACCTTATACTTTAATGAACAGATCAATACCTGTGACTGGCCGGTTAACGTGCAGTGTACATCGACTCCAGGCGCAACATTCACCTGCAACGACAAACCTGAGGGTCTACATTATTACACAGATCCAGCAGATTGCACCAAGTATTATACTTGCTATTTGGTTGAAGTTCGTTTAGCGTGTGGTGCCGGCCAAGCATTCAATGATGTACTGAATTATTGCGACTGGATTGCTAATGTTCCTGATTGTCCTAACCAAGCAACCAACGAAGCTAATGAAAATGTACAGACAACGCAAATTATTCAAACAGAAGACCCCGAAGGTATCTTGTACATTTATTTAAACAGTCCTATTCTTTAAGAAATACTTTTACAAAAATATTTTAGGAAGACTTATTTGAAGAATATGAGAATTTGTTTTCTATTTTCTCTACAAAAATGCCATTACTTAACAATATATCCGATACCCGTTCTAGTTCTCCAAAACCGTTATGTTATGATATTGATTAATTTCCACAATGCCGTTAAAGTGCCTAGACCTTATAAGCACAAACCTTAAGCACAAACTTTGCACAGAGGTTGTATTTATTTATTCCAACTTTGAGGGTTTTTAATCGCTCGCCTACATTTGCCCTGTGTCCTTTATCAAGACACTTTGTCCACATTTATTCCTGTTTCCTGGTACTTATTACTTTAGGTCGAATGTCAATGCGCTGATTATCGGTACTGCAACATTATGGAATACTTGCCCAGAAAGGTGTTTGTTTTATTAATGTCCGGAATAGTTACTTTTAGTGCATACAGGTCTTGACATAATACGCTGTATAATATATAAAATTATTTCGGGAATTTACTACAAAATAATGACCCCAAAAAGGCATTATTGCTATATGCCTAATATTAACCACTCATTTATTACGTTTTTGCTTTTATATCTTTATCAGTAAACAGCGAAGCGTTTTCATGTTGGGATCATCCGACAGGCTATTACGTAGATCCTTTGGATTGTACACATTACTACCAATGTCAAACAGAGATGTCTCACGTATCATGTGGCACCCTATACTTTAATGAACAGGTCAACACATGTGACTGGCCTGTTAACGTGGCATGTACATCGTCTCCAGGCGCAGCATTCACTTGCAACGACAAACCTGAGGGTCTGCATTATTACACAGATCCAACAGATTGCACCAAGTATTATACTTGCTATTTGGTTGAAGTTCATTTATCATGTGGTGCTGGCCAAGCATTCAATGATGTACTAAAATATTGTGACTGGATGCATAGTGTCCAGTGTGAGGTCGATGATATAGAACCAACAGTAGAAACTACAGTAACAGAAATGTTAGCAACTACAGCGACGGCAGGGGAACCAACTACAGTAGCAGTACTGGAAACAACTACAATGGGATCTGAGGAAACAACTACAGTAGCGGAAATGGATCCACCTTCAGAAGTGGCAGTGGAACTAACTACTGTAGCGGCAGTGGAACCCACTGCTGTAGCGGCAGTGGAAACAACTACAACAGGAGAGGAGGAAAAAACTACAGTAGCGGAGATGGATTCAACTACAACAGTGGAAATGGACACAACTACTGTAGCGGCAGTGGAAACAACTACAGTAGTTGCAGTGGAACCAAATACTTTAGCGGCAGGGGAAACAACTACAATAGTGGCAGTGGAACCAACTACTGCAGCGGCATTGGAACAAACTACTGGAGCAGCAGTGGAAATAACTACAACAAAGGAAACAACTACATTGTGGGCAGTACAACCAACTACTGTAACTGCAAATGAATTAACTACAGTAGTTGCTATGAAATCAACTACTGAAGCAGCAATGGAACCAACTACTGTAGCGACAGTGGAAATAACTACAGCAGTTGCAGTGGAACCGACTATTGTAGCGTCATTGAAACCAACTACTGTAGCGGCAGTGGAAATAACTACAGCAGGAGCAGAGGGAACAACTACAGTGGTGGCAGTGGAACCAACTACTGTAGCTCCATTTATATTAACTACAGCAGCGGCATTGGAATCGACTACTGTAGTGGCTGTAGAACCAACTGATGTAGCGACAGTGGAATCAATTACTGTAGCTGCAGTTGAAACAACCACTGTAGCGGCAGAGGAACCAACTACTGTAGCGGTAGTAGAAACAACTACTGTAGCGGCAGTAGAAACAACTACAATAAGAGCAGAGGAAACTACTATTGCAGCAGAAATGGACCAAACTACAATAGATAGAGTGGAATTAACTACAGAAGCGGCAGTGGAACCAACTACTGCAGTGGCAGTGGAACCCACTACAGTAGCGGCAGTGGAAACAACTACAGTAGTAGAAGACGAAACAACTACTATAGTGGCAGTTGATCCAACTACTGTAGCGGCAGTGGAAGCAACTTCAATAGGAGTAGAAGAAACAACTACAATATTGGTAGTGGACCCAACTACTGTAACAGCAGTGAAACCAACTACAAAAGTGGTAGTGGATCCAACTACAGTAACGGAAGTCGAAAAAACTACTGTCGCGGCAGTGGAAACAACTACAATAGGAACAAAGGGAACAACTACAGTAGTTGAAATGGACGCTACAGTAGAACCAACAATAGAAACTACAGTAACAGAAATTGCACCAACTACAGTGGCGCCAGTGGAACCAGCTACAGTAGCGCCAGTAGAACCAACTACAATAGCGACAATGAAAGCAACTACAATGGGATCAGAGGAAACAACTTCAGTAGTGGCAGTTGAACCATCTACTGTAGCGGCAGTGGAAATAACTACAGCAGGAGCAGAGGGAACAACTACAGTGGTGGCAGTGGAACCAACTACTGTAGCTCCATTTATATTAACTACAGCAGCGGCATTGGAATCGACTACTGTAGTGGCTGTAGAACCAACTGATGTAGCGACAGTGGAATCAATTACTGTAGCTGCAGTTGAAACAACCACTGTAGCGGCAGAGGAACCAACTACTGTAGCGGTAGTAGAAACAACTACTGTAGCGGCAGTAGAAACAACTACAATAAGAGCAGAGGAAACTACTATTGCAGCAGAAATGGACCAAACTACAATAGATAGAGTGGAATTAACTACAGAAGCGGCAGTGGAACCAACTACTGCAGTGGCAGTGGAACCCACTACAGTAGCGGCAGTGGAAACAACTACA